GGCCTATTTAGTGAAATAATTACAGAACTTCCCCAAATAGGAGAAAGAAAGGGATATCCAAGTACAGGAAGCACAGAGAACTCCTAATAGAATGACCAGAAAAGATCCTCACCATGACACACTGTAGTTAAACTTTCAATAACAAATCATAAAGAAAAAATCCTAAAATGTGCATGGAAGAAATGCCAGATTACTTTCAGAGAATCTCCGATTAGACTCACAGTGACTTCTCATCAGAAACACTAATGGCTATGAGAGAATGGAGAGACATAGTGCAAATCTTAAGAGAAAACAATTGTCAGCCCAGAATACTATACCCTGTAAAGCTCTCATTTATGAATGAAGGGGAAATCAAGACCTTCTACAACACCAAAAATTGAAATTAGTCACCATCCATCTAGCCTTCCAAAAGATGCTTAAGGATGTGCTACACACAGAAACACAGAACATGACTATGTCACCATTATGGAGGGTTGTGGGTGGGAGGGAAGTTATGGGGGGGGGGGAAGCCATTGTAATCCATAAGATGTACTTTGGAAATTTATATTCATTAAATAAAAGTTAAAAAAAAAGAAAGAATATGAAGGCAGAAAAATCTCTGAACAAAAGTACAAAGGAAATCCAAAGTGAACAATAGGAATATTTATGGGAAAATGGTAGGGACAAGTCATTACTTATCAATAGTAACACTGAATATAAATAGCCTCACCTCTCCAGTTTAAAGATAGAGACTGGCTGAATAGGTTAAAAAACAAGATCTATCTATTTACTGCCTACAAGAAGCATACCTTATCAACAAAGATATATACAGACTGAAAGTGAAAGGATGGATAATTTCCATACTAACAGAAAGCAAAAAGGAGCAGGAGAAGCCATTCTAATATCAGACAAAAGAGACTTTAACACAAAGAAGGGCACTAGGGCACTATGTAATGATTAAGGGATCAATTCAACAGCTAAATGCAACTATACCCAATGCCAGGGCATTTGGCTATTTAAAACAAATGATGAAGGATCTAAAGGGAGACATAGATTCCAGATATTGTAATAGGGTACATCAACATTCCAATTTCACCAATGGACAGATCAACTAGACAGAAAATCAGCAAAGAAATAACAGAGTTAATCAACACTATAGATCAAATGGACTTAACTGGTATCTACAGAACTTTTCATCCCACAGTTGTAGAATACACATTGTTCTCATCAATGCATAGAATGAGGATAAACCATATACTAGGCCATAAAGCAAGTCACAGCAAATTAAAAAAAATCAAAGTCATACCAGGCGTCGTCTTTGACAATGAAATGAAGCTGGAAATCAACAACTCAAGTATCTCTAGAACATATTCAAACACATGGAGACTGAACAAATTGTTCCTGAATGAACACTGGGTCATAGAAGAAATCAAAAGAGAAATTAAAAAATTTTTGGAAACGAATGAAGACATACAACATATCAAAACTTATGGGATAGCCGGTGCCTGGCTCACTAGGCTAATCCTCCGCCTTGTGGCGCCGGCACACCGGGTTCTAGTCCCGGTCGGGGCGCCGGATTCTGTCCCGGTTGCCCCTCTTCCAGGCCAGCTCTCTGCTGTGGCCAGGGAGTGCAGTGGAGGATGGCCCAAGTGCTTGGGCCCTGCACCCCATGGGAGACCAGAAGTACTTGGCTCCTGCCATCGGATCAGCGCGGTGCGCCGGCCGCAGTGTGCCGGCCGCGGCGGCCATTGGAGGGTGAACCAACGGCAAAGGAAGACCTTTCTCTCTGTCCCTCTCTCTCACTGTCCACTCTGCCTGTCAAAAAAAAAAAAAAAAAAAAAAAACTTATGGGATACAGCAAAAGCAGTGTTATAAGGAAGTTTATAAGCAATTGGTGCCTACATCAAGAAATTGTAAAGGTATCAAATAAATGAGCTATCAATGCATCTCAAGGACCTAGAAAAACAACAAACCAAACTCAAAGTTAGTAGGAGGAAACAAATAATTAAAATTAGAGAAGAAATAAAGAAAATTGAACAAGAAATCACAAAAGATGAATGAAATGAAGAGCTACTCTTTTTTTTTTTTTGAAAAATAAGCAAAATTTATATACCATATACACCACTGGACCAACTAGCCAAAAAGGAAATGAAACAACAGTTACCACAGAAATAAAAAGAATCATCAGGTATTACCACAAAAAGCTGCATTCCAACAAATCAGGAAACCTAGAAGAAATGGATAGATTCTTGGATACATATAATCTACCACATTGAGTCATGAAGATGTAGAACACCTAAACAGATCAGTAACCAAGAGAGAGATTGCATCAGTAATAAAGACCCTCCCAACAAAGAAAAGCCCAGGACCAGATGGTTTCACTGCTGAATTCTACCAGACATTTAAACAAGAAGTAATTCTAATTCTTCTCAAGCTATTCAAAACAACTGAAAGGGAAGGAATCCTCCCAAACTTGTTCTATGAGTCCAGCATCACTTTCATTCCTAAACCTGAAGAAGATACAACAGACAAAGAGAATTACAGACCAATGTCATTGATGAACACAGATGCAAAAATCCTCAAAAAAATTGAATCCAGCAACACATCAGAGAGAACATTCAGCCAGAACAAGTGGGATTTATCACTGGTATGCAGTGATGGTTCAACATTTGCAAATCAGTAAGTAGGATATATCACATTGAGAAACTGAAGAACAATAACCATATGATTATCTCACTAGATGCAGAGAAAGCATTTTATAAAATACAACATCTTTTCATGATGAAAAGCTTAAGCAAATTGGATACAGAAGGAACATTCCTCAAAACAAGACAATTTATGACAAACCCATGGTCAGCATCATATTGGATGGGGAAACATTGGAAGCATTCTTCTAAGATCTGGAATCAGACAAGGATGCTCAATCTCACCACTGCTATTCAAAAAAGGCCTGGAAGTTTTGGCCAAAGTCATTAGGCAAGAAAAAGAAATCAAAGGGCTACAGATTGGGATGGAGGAAGTCAAACTATCCCTATTTGCATATGACATGATTCTATATATAGGGGATCCAAAAGATTCCACTGAGAGACTATTGGAATTCATAGAACTTGATAAAGTAGAAGGATATAAAGTCAACACACAAAAATCAGTAGACTTTGTATACACAGACAATGCCATGGCTGAGAAAGAACTTCTAAGATCAATCCCATTCAAAATAGCTACAAAAAAATCAAATACCTTGGAATAAATTTAACTAAGGATGTCAAAGATCACACTATTTGTTGAACTCTTAGAGTAGGGTTAAACTTATGAGTATAAAATTAACTGAAAATAGATAAGTAAAAAATAAGCATGGGAATAGGAGAGGCAGGAGGAAGAAGGGTGGGAGGGTAGGGTGCAAAATATCACTATGTTCCTGAATCTGTATATAGGAAATACCTGTGTTTTATATATCTTGAATAAAATTTTTTTTAAAGAAAGAACACCAAAAATTATGGAAATGTGTTGAATACACATGTATTTTTTCATGTATTGAAAGGATCATGTTGTTTTTTTTCTTTGTTCAATCAGCATTATGTATCATATTGAATTTCTTACATTGAACAACACTTTTATATCCTGGGACAGACTTCACTTGATTGTAATAAATAAATACATTTAATATGTTGTTGATTTAGCCTGTTAGTGTTTAGTGGGGGGATTTTTCCATCAATAATAATGCAGGATATCAGTATAGTCTTCCTTTCTTGTTCCATCTTTGTATGGGTTTGGAATAAGGGTAACTGGCCTCACAGAATGTGTTCTGAGGCCAGTGCCGTGGCATAGCAGGTAAAGCCGCCACCTGCAGTGCTGGCATCCCATATGGCTGTTGGTTCAAATCCAGGCTGCTCCACTTCCGATGCAGCTCTGTGCTATGTCCTGCAAAAGCAGTAGAAGATGGCCTAGGTCCTTGAGCCCTTACACCCGTGTGGGGGACATGGAAGAAGCTCCTGGCTCCTGGCTTCAGATCAGCTCAGTTCTGGCCATTACAGCCAACTGGTGAGTGAACCAGTGGGTGGAAGACCTCTCTCTCTCTCTCTTTGCCTCTCCTTTTCTCTCTGTGTAACTGTGACTTTCAATTAAAGAAGTAAATCTTAAAAAAAAAAAGAATGTGTTCCTTCCTCTATTTTTTTCCTTTTTTTTTTTAACATGCCTTTTTTTTTTTAAAGATTTTATTATTTATTTGCGAGTCAGGGTTACAAAGGGAGATAAGGAGAGGCAGGGAGAGAGACAGAGAGAGAGAGAGAGAGAGAGAGAGATATGTCTTCCATCCGCTGGTTCACTGCCCAATTGGCCACAACGGCCAGAGCTGTGCAGATCCGAAGCCAGGAGCCTCTTCTGGGTCTCCCATGTGGGCGCAGGGGCCCAAGGACTTGGGTCACCTTCTACTGCTCTCCCAGGCCATGGCAGAGAGCTAGATTGGAAGTGGAGCAGCCAAATCTTGAACTAGTGCCTATATGGGATGCTGGCACTTCAGGCCAGGGTGTTAACACGCTGTGCCACAGCGCCAGCCCCATCCTGTACTCTTTTTCATATGAGTTTGAGTAGTTGATGCTAATTCTTCTTTAAATGCTTGGTGGAATTCGATACTGCAGCTGTCTTCTTTTTGGGGAGGTTTTTGATTTCTGACTCTGTTGGTAAAGGTGCTTAAGTTATCTAATTTGTTGATATGCAGTTGTTTATAATCTCTTACAGTCTTTCCAATTTCACAGGACAGTAGTAAAGTCCTCATGTTCATTTTCTGTCTTAGTGATTTGCCTGTTTTTTCTTATTTAGTTTAGCTAAAGGATTTTCAATTTTGTTGATCTTTTTGAAGAGCCAACTTTTGATTTCTGTGTCTATTATTTTTGTACTATCTATTTCATTTATCTACTGAAACAAATCCCTCTTTCTGCTGGCTCTTTGGATTAATTTGTCCTTGCTTTTTCAGTTTCCTTAAGATATAAAGGTAGGTTGTTAATTTGCAATTCTTGTTTTCACAGGTTCTGCTTGTAGCCACAGAATTCCCTCTGAGAATTGCTTTTGCTGCATCCTGTAAGTTGTGGTATGTCCTGTTTTTGTTTTCACTAATCTCTAAGTATTTTTTAGCTTAGTTGATATACAATCTTATCTTCTCGAGTGAACCACTCATGCAGTGAAGTAGTTGATCCCATCTCCCACCCTATATAAAAATCAACTCAAAGTGTTTAAAGGGTTATATTTAACTTTTAGACCATAGACCCCAAACTATGATACTACTAGAAGAAAACCACAGGGGAATGTTTCAGGATGTTGGCCTAAGCCAAGAATTTCTCAATTTGACCCAATTGTACAGGCAGAAAACCAATAATTGATGAATGAGATGACAACAAACTAAGATGCTTCTGTACAGCAAAGGAGACAATCAACAAGGTGAAGAGAAAACCCACAGAATGGGAGGAAATACCACAGGCTCTTTTAAATACTTATTTCCCCTAAATTTTTTGAAGTCCCCTTAGTTTTGTAAAGAGTTCACTTTGCTTGGGGTTAATTTTTAGAATATGAGGAACTCTAGGCTGGCGCTGTGGCTCACTAGGCTAATCCTCTGCCTGCGGCGCAGGCACCCCGGGTTCTAGTCCCAGTTGGGGCGCTGGATTCTGTCCCAGTTGCTCCTCTTCCAGTCCAGCTCTTTGCTGTGGCCCAGGAAGGCAGTGGAGGATGGCTCAAGTGCTTGGCCCTGCACCCGCATGGGCGACCAGGAGGAAGCATCTGGCTCCTGGCTTTGGATTGGTGCAGTGCGCCAGCCCTAGTGGCCATTTTGGGGGTGAACCAACAGAAAAGGAAGACCTTTTTCTCTGTCTGTCTCTCTCTCTCTCTCTCACTGTCTAACTCTGCTTGTCAAAATAATAAAATAAAAAAATAAAAAAGAATTGAGGAACTCTAATATTTAACTCAGCAGCAAAAAAAAAAAAAAAAAAAAAAAAAAAAAAGATTTGAAAATGGGCAAATGACCTGAACATTTTTCAAAAAAGGATACACAAATGGCCAACAAATATATGAAAAAAAGGTTCAATATTTCTAATGGTAGGGAGTGACAACCAAAATCATCATGAGGTATCATCTTACCACAGTTAGAATGGTTAATATCAAAAAGACAACAAATCTTGTTCAGGGTTTGGGGAATGGGTAAGTCTCATACATTATTAAGGAGAATGTAAATTAGTACAGCCATTGTAGAAAACAGTATAGAGATTCCATAAATAAGCAGAAATAAAACTACCATATGATTCAATAGTCCCACTACTGGGTATATATCCAGAGGAATTGAAATCTCTATGTTCAGGATAAATCTGCACTTGAGTTTTATTGTGGCCCTATTTATAACTGCCAACATATGAAATCAACCTAGGTATCCACTGGCAGATGAATGAATAAGAAGATTTGCAGGGGTTGGTGTTGTGCTGTAGTGGGTAAAGCCACTGCCTGCAGTCCTAGCATCCCATATGGGTGCCAGTTCAAATTCCGGCTGCTTCGCTTCTAATCCAGCTCTCTGCTATGGACTGGGAAAGCAGTAGAAGATGGCCCAAGTCCTTGGGCCCCTGAGCACACGTGGGAGACCTGAAGGAGGCTCCTGGCTTCGGATCAGCACAGCTCCGGCCGTTGCGGCCAATTGGAGAGTGAACCAGTGGATGGAAGACACCCCCTCCTCCCCGGCCTCTCCTTCTCTGTAACTCTGACTTTCAAGTAAATAAATAAATAAATAAAAATCTTTTAATAAAAGAAAATTTTGCATACACAAAAGAATATTATTTAGCTGAGAAAGAATAAAACATTCTGTTATTTGCAGCGGCATGGATAGAAATGGAGGACATTATGTTAAGTAAAATAAGTCTGGTGTATAAAGAGAAATACTGCATTTTCTCACTCACACATGGAAGTTAAAAGAAGCAGAGAATAGAAGAGTGGTTACCAGGACCTAGGGACTAGAGGGGGAGTTAATGGCTACCAGGGTGCAGCTGAGAGGAGGAGTAACTGCTAATGTTTTTTTTTTTTTTTCTTTTTTCTTTTGACAGGCAGAGTGGACAGTGAGAGAGAGAGACAGAGAGAAAGGTCTTCCTTTGCCGTTGGTTCACCCTCCAATGGCCGCCGCGGCCAGCGCACCGCGCTGATTCAAAGGCAGGAGCCAGGTGCTTCTCCTAGTCTCCCATGGGGTGCGGGGCCCAAGCACTTGGGCCATCCTCCACTGCACTCCCGGGCCACAGCAGAGAGCTGGCCTGGAAGAGGGGCAACCGGGACAGAATCCGGTGCTCCGACTGGCACCAGAACCCGGTGTGCCGGCACCGCAAGGCAGAGGATTAGCCTAGTGAGCCGCGGTGCTGGCCTCTGCTAATGTTCTATAGCAGGATAAGATAACTATTGTAAAACAATTAATTGAATATTTCAAAATAGTAGGGTTTGAATGTTCCTGATACAAAAGCAATTATATGTCTGAAGTGACAGACATTCCAATTACTCTGATCTGATTATACATGGTACACAGTATGCCACACCTTACCCCATAAATTATTGTATGTGAAAAAAATTAAAAAAAAAAAAGAGGGGCCAGCACCGTGGCTCACTTGGTTAATCCTCTGCCTGCGGTGCCGACATCCCATATGGGCACCAGGTTCTAGTCCTGGCTGCCCCTCTTCAGTCCAGTTCTCTGCTGTGGCCCAAGTGCTTGGGCCCCTGCACCAGCAAGGGAGACCAGGAAGAAGCGCCTGGCTCCTGGCTTCGGATTGGTGCAGTGCTGGCAGTAGCGGCCATTTGGGGAGTGAAGCAATGGAAGGAAGACCTTTCTCTCTGTCTCTCTCTCTCTGTCTATAACTCTACCTGTCAAATAAAAAAAATTAAAAAAAAAAGATTCCATATTAAAAAATTAAACAAAATACATTTTGCAAGCAATAATAAAAGGCTTAACAGGTACTGAAGGCTTATGATGGGCTTATGTATTATTTCAATTATTCATAACAACAGTTGTATGAGAATAGGTACTGTTACTATCTCTTAATCATCAGGAAGTTTAGAAGTTAAACAATTTCACCAAAACCACGTAAGTACTGAGTGGTAGAAGCTGGGACTGTGACGTAATTTCAGCAGCCTAATTCCAAATCCCCTGCCCTTTCTCATCACCTGAAACCTTGTCTTCAGGTGAAAAGAAGTGTGATATTTGTCTTATTGCTCTATAAAAAGGACTTCGAATGCCATAAAATACCCCTTCCCAATGCCAGTTGTTCCTTTTACTATTTGCAAATCTGTAATATTTGTGGGTCCTAGGATCTGGGAATCTGAAACATTTTAAACACAAGCATGAACTTCAGTTAACATTTGCTGAGTATTGTAAATCTAGGCTATAGGGGCCGGTGCTGTGGTGTAATGAGTAAAGCTGCTGTCTGCTGTGCCGGCATCCCATATGGGTGCCGGTTTGAGTCCCAGTTGCTCCACTTCTCATCCAGCTCTCTGCTATTGCCTGGGAAGCAGTGGAAGATGGCCCAAGTCCTTGGGCCCCTGTACCTACATGCAAGACCAGGAGGAAGCTCCTGGCTCTTGGCTCCTAGCTCCTGGCTTCAGATCAGTGCAGCTCCGGCCATTGTGGCCAACTGGGGAGTGAACCAGTGGATAGAAGACCTCTCTCTCTGTGTGACTCTGACTTTCAAATAAATAAATAATTCTTTTAAAAAAATCTAGGCCATAAAGCCATACCTCATTGTTGTGGTGTTTGAGTTCACTGAGTTATGTCTTGGGCTTTGTCATGCTCCCACTCTATACACAAAGCCTGGGCATTTTAAGCAGTTCTGGCATTTGAACCTGGTTAATCTTGTTAATTTTCAATGTTCTTTGCTGAGGAAGAGTTTAATCTGATTGCACCTCTGTAGGATAAGATTATGCAAAAGACAATGATCTGGCTACAGACTAGCCTTTGACTGAGACTAGAATAAGCTCGGCTTCTCTGGCTCATTCCAGAGAGTTAAAAGGATTATACCTGGCAGACTGAAAATGTCATCATTCTCACCATTTGTAGGTGTATGCTAAGAGAAACATCATCACAATTTTGTTCCATACCATGTGATTTTAAATTATATTTTCCTAAAAGAAAGCAGTATGACACCATGAGGTAGAATTCAATATTTCCCTGTGAAGAGAATTTATAATACTGATAATGTCAAGTTGGATAATAATGTACATAGCAGGGTTAACAAAAACAACTTTATACGATAATAATATATTCAGATAACTACAATATTAAATGTATTTCATTACATAGGGACTCCAGCATACAAATGATTTGGCCAATAGGGTATCTTCTTATTAATTAGCAGGTACTCTTTGGTTAATGAACTATTTCTTATTTCCTAGCTGTCTAAGAGAACTGTGCTTTTGTGAATCTGGTGCAATCCATCTAGATTCCAAGTAAGTGATAGATGTTCCCATAATCAATGTGTTCTTTGCTCATTAGGTGACTGACAATGTATCCTTCCTCCTGGCATGATGAAGAAATGGAGAGATGGAGAGATACACTGTGTTCCAGGTATTGATATATTTGTTGTGTGTGTTTTTTTTTTGTTTTTTTTTGGACAGGCAGAGTTAGACAGAGAGAAAGGTCTTCGTTTTCTGTTGGTTCACCCCCAAAATGGCCACTAGGGCTGGCGCGCTGCGCCGATCCGAAGCCAGGAGCCAGATGCTTCCTCCTGGTCGCCCATGCGGGTGCAGGGCCCAAGCACTTGGGCCATCCTCCACTGCCTTCCCGGGCCACAGCAGAGAGCTGGACTGGAAGAGGAGCAACCAGGACAGAATCCAGCGCCCCAGCTGGGACTAGAACCCGGGGTGCCTGCGCCGCAGGCAGAGGATTAGCCTTGTGAGCTGCAGTGCCAGCTGATATATCTGATATATTTTTTTTTCATACTAATCTTATCAAGAGTAGTTTGGGTTCTGTTAAGTTTCAAGGATTTTTTGATAAATGACCAAATAAAACATAAAAAAAGTCACTTTCTTTCCTTTGCTTCTAGTCTATTTTAATTGCTAACAGGGTAAGTTTCTGATATAGCTATTAAAATCTTTCTAGCTATAACAATGATCATAATCCCTTGTTCTTAATTGCCAGTTAAAGGTAATAATTTGTATTATTTAATTTGATGAGACTCATTATAAATACCTATCAAATTAGATAGTCTAGCCAGAATAGAGTTGAACAATTAAATTGGTATTTGTAGTCTACTCTGATAACATAATTTTTCCCTGATATTTTAAAATGATTTAAAAAATGTTCCAAGTTTCAAACATCTAATGCATAAACTTATACAAAAAAATCTGGATGTTAGAAGCATCATACATACCAACACATATTTTTAATTTGATGAAATCAATTTAAAAAACCAAGGCTATTTTAGTGACTTTTTATAAAAATAAGTGATCTTATACCTCAATGCCATGAATATCCTGAATAACAGAGAAGATCACAGTTGTTATACTGTGATGATTTCTGGTAACGTACTATTGACCACTTTTTAAATAACAAAATTAGAGTGGCCAAAGAAGGCAAATGATAAAATCACAACAGTGATGATTTTTGACAATGAAATCCATTTGCTCATGTGTTGTTCAGCTATTCAGAAAGATAGTTAATTCCTATATACAAAACAGAGTAACGCTAACAGGCTATTTTGTTGTCAACAGGTTAAATTTACTATACAATATCATATTATAAGGTGACCCTAGAATTCAGAAAGGGAAGAAAAAAAGAGGACAAAGTAGATTTGGAAGCTAGGAAAAGGCTGATTTGTACTGAGAAGAATAGAAATATTAGCATTTAATTCTTAAAATTTGTATTTCCTAGGCTTCATCACCTGACATTTAAAACATCTGCTAAATCACACAGTGTCTTGTTCTCTTAGTTTTCTGACTTAACATTCTCTGATTTGTGGGAAGGCTTTTGGCATAGTTGTTAGGAGCCCAAATTCTCCTGTGGAGTGCCTGGATTTGATTCCTCTCTCCAGCTACTAACTACAGGTCTCTAGAGGCAACAGTAATGGCTCAAGTAATTGGGTCCCTTTCACACATGTGGGAGTCATGGATTGTGTCTCCGGCTCCTGGCTCCATGCTGGGTGTAGCCCCAGCTATTGGGGGCATTTGGGTTGTGAACCAGGGGATGGGAACTCTTGCTCCTTCCCTCCCTCCCTCTCAAAAACAAAACAAAACAAAACAAAAAAACCTATTCATTTTAGTTAAATGGATGATTACTCATAAAGATAAAAGAATGAATGGTCTCTCTTTGATGGTAAAATCTTCCATGGGTTTATATGACTAAGTCACACCCCTTTATTTAGATTTTGGAATATCTAGTTCCCAATGTAATGGCTTCTCACAAATTGCTCACTAAATTTTTGTTTAGTTTGTTTCTCCTATAGATATCAAACACTTGAAATCTATCAGGCACTTTGTTGACTGGAGGAGCACGTTAATCTGATAAAAAATTAGAAATCTAAGACCTGTATTAAGTTACTGTTACTATGTAAGTGCCATCCTACTTACAGAACAGCTTAAGAACAAAATATATTCTGTCTTCATAGAAAGGCATAATCCTTGAAGAGAAAATGGATTTAAAAGAATGTGGCATGGGGCTGGCACTGTAGGGTAATAGGCTATATCTCCACCTGAGGTGCTATATGGGTGCCGGTTTTTGTCTGCCTTCTCCTCTTCTGATCCAGCTCTCTGCTTATGGCCTGGGAAATGGCCCAAGTACTTGGGCCCCTGTACCTGCATGAGAGACCTGGAAGAAGCTCCTGGCTCCTGGCTCCTGATAGGCCCAGCTCTGGGTATTGCAGCTATTTGGGGAGTGAACCAGAGGATGGAAGACCTCTCTCTCTCTCTGTCTCTCCCTCTGTCTGTAACTCTCTCTTAAAAAAAAAAAAAAAAGAATGTGGCACGGTCAGATGTTGTGAAACCTGCATCCCATATTGGACTGCCAGTTCAGGTCCTGGCTACTTGGCTTCTTTTCTAGTCTTTCTTTAAATTTTTTGTTAATATAAAGAGATCAGATTTCATGTATTTCATAGATACAATTCTAAGAAGATAACCATACTTTCTCCTTTCTCCCTCCTTCAATCTTTTCACCTTCCTTCCTTTTTTTTCCCCTTTAATTTTTGTAATAACATAACTTTCCATTTACTTCATAATCACAGGCTTATTGCACCACTTAACCATAATGTTCAAAAGTGAAAGTAGAAAGACCATTGTTCCACAGGAGTATAGACAAAGGCTAAAAACAATAATCAGATCTTAAGATGTTCATTTCAGCTTCCTGTTAATGCACTCGGGAAGGCAGAGGATGATGGTTCAAGCACTTGGGTCCCTGCCACCCATGTGGGAGACCCAGATGGAGTTCTGGGCTCCTGGTTTTGACTTGGTCCAGCCCTCTCCAGCCCTCGCTGTTAACAGATATTTTGGGAGTGAGCCAGTGGATGGAAGATTCTTTATCTTTCTCTGCCACTCTTTCAAATAAATAAGTAAATAAATAAATCTTTAAAAAAATTTTTTGCTGGTACTCAGGTGTTTGAAAATGTGGCCTGCAAAGAAGATCCTGAAATATCTTAAGTGAACGGTACAAGCAGATGGGGAATTTGTGTGGCTATATGTTAAAATGCCAGACTTTTTTTTAAAAAAAGATTTTATTTATTTCTTTGAGAGGTAGAGTTACAGACAGAGAGAGGGAGAGACAGAGATGTCTTCCATCTATTGGTTCACTCCCAAAAAGGCTACAATGGCCTGAGCTGAGCTGATTTGAAGCCATGGGTCTCCTACATGCAAGCAGGGGCCCAAGCACTTGGGCCATCTTCCACTGCTTTCCTATGCCATAAGCAGGGATCTGGATCAGAAGAGGAGCAGCTGAGATGTCAAAACAAAAGGTGGAGGCTTAGCATATTATGCCACAATGCAGGCCCCCAAATGCCAGATTTTAAAATGGTATCTATTTATGGAAAACTTTTTAAAAACAATGGTTGACCTGTTTTCCTAGGAGCTGATATGTACCTTATACTGGAGAATAATGGAATCAATTCACTTTGTTACTCATGAGGAGTATTTTTAATTATTTCTGAACTCAGCTTCTAGACAGCATGCAAAGATAAAGTGATTAAATGTGTGAAATATGCAGCAGAACCTCCTACTAGACTATGCTGAGGTGCCTCCAGTCTAGTTACTTTATCTTTGTACTCTGTTTCTATGGCATAGCCTATTGGCTTGCACAATATATGTACTCTGTAGATACCTGATGTAGTAAATTGAAGGTCTGGCAGTAAATAACAAGCATAATTTGTTCAATGGTTTAACTTCAGTTTTCCTTGAGATCTTATAGTATGACATGTCAGTGATTATTGTTGAAGATGTCCTTTTGGGCTTTGAATAACAACATGCTATCAGCTTAAATACTGGGACTTGAATAAATATGCAGGGAACACAGGAGACTGGTGATTGCAGTATTATGGAAGACACATTGTATTTGAATGCCAAAGATACGTATTATAACACTGCTTTAGTAAGTTCCTTACCTTCCTGTCCTCCTAAGCCTTTATTTGTGTATTCACCTAAAAGTTTGCTGAGTGAATGTTGTGTGCTTTTTACACAGAGATGAAAAAGGACAATCCTTGCCCAGGAGATGCTTAAAAATATAACTTAATACATTATCCCTCTTAGTAGTTTTTTTTGTCTGTTCTACTTAATATGACTGGTTAATTCTGTAATTAATACACAGTTATTCTTAAGTGTTAAAAATTAACTGAAATGTGATCCCTGTTAAACATAAGAGTGGGAATAAGAGAGGGAAGAGATGTATAATTTGGGACATGCTCAAGCTGACTTGCCCCAAATGGTAGAGTTAAAAACATACCAGGGGATTCCAATTCAATCCCATCAAGGTGGCATGTACCAATGCCATCTCACTATTCCAAGTGATCAATTTCAGTTCACAATTGATCATAATGAAAGGACTAAGAGTCAAAGGGAGCACATAAACAAGTCTAGTACCTGCTAACACTAACCGATAGAATAAATAAAGGGGAGAGTGATCCAACATGGGAAGTGAGATACTCAGCAGACTCATAGAATGGCAGATGTCCTAAACAGCACTCTGGCCTCAGAATCAGCCCTAAAGGCATTTGGATCTGGCTGAAAAGCCCATGAGAGTATTTCAGGCATGGAAAGCCAAGACACTCTGGCAAAAGATCTCTGCGAGTGAGATCCCAGTGGAAAGAACAGGTCTTCAAAGAAGGAGGTACCTTTCTCTGAAGAGAGGAGAGAACCTCCACTTTGACTATGACCTTGTCTAAACAAGATAAGAATCGGAGAACTCAGAGGGCTTCCATAGCCTTGGAAACTCATGACTGGAGCACAGGGAGACTACTGATGCCATAGACAGGAGTGTCAATTGGTAAAGTCAACAACAGGAGTCACTGTGCACTTACTCCTCATGTAGGATCTCTGTCCTTAATGTGCTGTGCATTGAGATTTAATGCTATAACGAGTACTCAAACAATATATTTCACTTTGTGTTTCTATGGGGGTGCAAACTGTTGAAATCTTTACTTAATGTATACTAAACTGATCCTCTGTAAAAAAAAAAGAAAAGAAATTATCAACTCCCAACTTGACTCTCACTGTGATAAACATTACAATATGTCTGATCTGATTTCATCATCATTTAAAAATAAATCATCTTATTGTTTACACTTTATGTTTCTGTGTGGGAGCAAACTGTTGAAATCCTTACTTAATGTATACTAAGCTGATCTTCTGTATATTAAGATAATCGAAAATGAATCTTGATGTGAATGGAAGGGGAGAGGGAGTGGGAAAGGGGAGGGTAGTGGGTGGGAGGGACGGTATGGGGGGGAAGCCATTGTAATCCATAAATCGTACTTTGGAAATTTATATTCATTAAATAAAAGTTAAAAAAAAAAGATATAACATTGGAAAACATAATTCAGTGTTTCATCTAAAGTTAGAATAGCTACAACCTACTGTATCATAATTATAATAGTTATCTTTTAGTCTATATAAAATGCATTGTAAGATATAAAGCATGATAAAAATATTAGTTATCTTGATCATTTTATATCATTCCTCATATCTTCTGGCTTTCTTAGTTGAATTTCAACAGCTTAGTTCCTGAAAAATAGTGTAAATTGTTAATTATTATGGATGTTTTTATAATTTTTTTCAAACTTCCTTTTTTTAATAAACTAAGAAGTGCAGAATCCTGGTTGAAGCTATATTTGTTAACCTGCTTCCCAATTGTAAATTTAGAATGTGAGGGTTTTTTATATGTCTCTTTTATCTATTGTTATTAAATTGATTTATAACTCCCCTATCACAAAACTCAACAGTTTAAAGCATTAAATTCAGTGGATTTTAGTGCATTCACAAAGTTATGCAACTGTTACCACTAATGCCAGTCTATTTTCATCACCAATAGAAACCCATACCTCTTAGCAGTTATTCCCTATTACTCTTTCTAGCCTCTAGTAACTACTAATTTTGTATCTATGGATTTGCCTATTCTGGATCCTTCATATAAATGTAACCATTAATATGTGGCCTTTTGTATCTTCTTTTACTTAATCTTTTATAAGGTACACTGATGATAAAGCATGTTTCACTTTTATCATTGGATAACAGTCTGTTAATGGAAACACTACATTTGGTTTATCTACTGCTCATCAGTTGATGAAATTTGATTCCCACTTTTGACTATTTTAAAAAATTTATTTTATATATTTATTTCAAAGGCAGAACATGAGAGAGACAGAGACAGAGAGATCTTCTATTAACTGGTTCATCTCCTAAATGGTCCCAACAGCTCAGGCTGGGCCTGGCTGAGGCCAGGAATCAGAACTTCATCCTGGTCTCAGATTCATGTGAGTGGCTCGGGCCCAAATAGTTGGGCCATCTTCTGCTGCTTTCCCAGGTGCCTTAGCAGGAATCTGGATCAGAAATGGAGTAGCCAAGACTTGAACTGGCACTCTGAGATGGGATGCTAGCCCTGCTGTGCCAGAACACTAGTACATTTAGTACATTCACAAGGTTATGCAACCGTTACCACTAATGCCAGTCTATTTTCATCACCAATAGAAACCCATACCTCTTAGCAGTTATTCCCTATTTTCTTTCTAGCTCCTAGTAACTACTAATCTTGTATCTATGATTTGCCTATTCTGGATCCTTCATATAAATGTAACCCTTTAATATGTGGCCTTTTGTATCGTCTTTTACTTAATCTTTTATAAGGTACACTGATGATGTAGCATGTTTCACTTTTATCACTGGATAACAGTCACTTTTCGGCTGTTATGTGGATAATAGCCACTTTTTGGCTATTATGAATACTGATGCTATGAGTCGTGTATTTTCAGTTCTTTTGAGAATATATCTGGGAGTGAAATTTATGGGTCATATGTTATATGCTCACTTTAATTTTTTGAGGAACTGAGTAATTTGAATTTGATAACTGCTTTTCTATAGCTTAATGCACATAAGACTCTGATGAGGGAATGGCAAAAAGCCTTTACTAATGCATGTTAAAAATAATGCAAAGGGAAACAATAAAATCCACATCTCTCATAAAACCAAACTGCATTAGGTGTTACTGCCTGTGGAGTTCCAGCTTAATGGTCAGTGTTCCTTCTGAGTTGCATTAGGGAGGTAAACTTTTCTGAGGTTATGTGCAGTTATGTTTCAGCTGTCATTCATACAGCTATTTTTAAACTGGACAATGTTGTATAAATGAGCTAAACTAGAAAGTGTGGCTCATGCCTCAGTGGACTTTATGTTCCATACATGAGATCTACACCTCTTGGAGGGGCAAAACAATGGTCTTTTTGTTCTAAGGGATCTTTTTAAGTGGCAACAAAAAAGGATAAGGCAGGAAAAGTACTGAGTTTTGTTTTGAGACAGGAATAAAAGATGCATAACTACTTTACAAACCAAAGGTGAGAGATTTTTTTAGTCCCAGACTGCGAGATAGGTTATTTTTACTGAGACATGTGAAATTTAAAAGACAAGGTGACAGAGAGAGAGAGAGAGGGAGAAACAGAGAGAGAAAGATTTTCCATCTGCTGGTTTACTCCCCAAATGACTGCAACAGCCAGGTCTAAGCTAGGTAAAGCCAAGAGCCAAGAAAACTCCATTCTGGTCTCACAAATGCATGGCAAGGGCCCAACCAAGTACCAGGGCCATCTTCCACTGCCTTTCCAGAGGCATTAGCAGGAAGCTGGATTGTAATCCAAGCAGCTAGGAATTGAACCCACTCTGATTGTGGGATACTGATGTTTCAAGTGGGATCTTACCCTGTTGGGCTACAACACTAGCCTCTGTTTTAAAATCTTAAAACAAATGTTTTCTAGAATAAGTAGCTGTTACACGCTATTGGAGAGACCTGGAGGCAATTACTAGCTAACAATGTACAAAACCCAAAAAATATCAATAATTTTTGCTTTGTCATTTCTTTCACATGGACTTCCTTTCTAGAGGACATGATTAAAGTAGTGACTGCAAGTAAGCATATTCTTTTTAAACTGTTCTTGCCTTCTGCTTTTCTAAATTTCTTTCCTTTCCCTAGCCACTCAAGTCTCTATTGCCCCCAAGCACCTTTTTATTAATGTTGACATTTCCATCTGTAAATTCTTACTTGGTTTTCAAGTACAGCAGAATTCATTCCTTTTCTGCAATTATTTTTGTGTAAAAACTAAACAAACCAGGAGCCAAATAAATGAAATTTAGTGGTTTACATAACGGTAATGGTTTTAATACTTCTGAAATGGTGGATTAGCTGGACAGTTTCTTTTGGGGTTCACTCATGTGGCTGTATTCAGCTGGTGGGTCAGCTGGGTAGAGATGACTGCATAGGCCTCTTTATGGTCTTTCAGATTTAATGCGGCTGGAACAGTATTCTTCACATGCTGTCTCAAGGGTTTACCAAGGCACCACTTGTGTCATGTTTGCTGATGCTCCATTGCCAAAAGCAAAGTCAGTGTGGGAGAAGAATGCTGGTATGGATACTGGGGAGGCATGAATCACTGGTGGCTGTTAGTGTAGCACTTTTTAATCTGAATTCTCATGAAAGTAAAATTGTTGGCTGGCACCGTGGCTCAATAGGCTAATCCTCTGCCTTGCAGCGCCGGCACACCGGGTTCTAGTCCTGGTCAGGGTGCCGGATTCTGTCCCGGTTGCCCCTCTTCCAGGCCAGCTCTCTGCTATGGCCCGGGAGTGCAGTGGAGGATGGCCCAAGTCCTTGGGCCCTGTACCCGCATGGGAGACCAGGAAAAGCACCTGGCTCCTGGCTTCGGATCAGCGCGATGCACCGGCCACAGCGCGCCGGCAGCGGTGGCCATTGGAGGGTGAACCAACGGCAAAAGGAAGACCTTTCTCTCTGTCTCTCTCTCTCACTGTCCACTCTGCCTGTCAAAAAATTTAAAAAAAAAATTAAAAAAAAAAAGAAAGTAAAATTGTATTTTCTTTTTATTTTTTACCCCGCTTTTCAGCTTGGGAAGATTCAGCTGATATATCTTCAAGGTCAGTAATTCTCTTGGCTATGTCCATGTTACTGATGAGTACATCAAAAACATTCTTTATTTCTATTACAACATTTCTAATTTCTACCATTTCCCTTTTCCATTAGAACCTTTAGCATCTTAAAAGTATCTATTTGAAATCCTCAGACTTATACTTTATTTTTTTAAGATTTATTTTATTTATTTGAAAGATAGAGTTACAGAGAGAGGTAGAGACAAAGAGAGAGGTCTTCCATCTGCAGGTTCACTCCCCAGAGGGCCTCAATGGCCAGAGCTATACTGATCCAAAGCCAGGAGCCAGGAGATTCTTCCAAGTCTCCCACGTGGGTGCAGGGGCCCAAGCACTTGGGCCATCTTCCACTGCTTTCCCAGGCCATAGGAGAGAGCTGGATTAAAAGAGGAGCAGCCAGGACTAGAACCAGTTCCCACATGGGATGCCGGTGCTTCAGGCCAGGGCTTTAACCCACTGTGCCATAGCGCCGGCCTCTATACTTCTTAAAAAAATATTTATTTACTTATTTGAAAGGCAGAGTTAGAAAGAAAGAGAGAGAGAGAGAGAGAGAGAGAGAGAGAGAGAGAGATATCTACGATCTGCTCATTCACTCCCCAAATGGCCATAACGGCTAGGGCTAGGCCAGGCCGAAGTCAGCCACTTCATTTATGTCTCCAACATGGGTACAGGGGCTCAAGGATTTGAGTCATCTTCTGCTGCTTTCCCAGGCACATTAGCAGGGAGATGAATTGGACGTGGAGCAGCTGGGACTCAAACTGGTTTCCATATGGGATGCTGACTTCACAGGTGGTGGCTTCACCTGCTATGCCACAACGCTGGCCCCCAGACTTTGGTTAGGTGTAAAAGCTAGAGGGAGCTGAAGTTTGGTATTTCAATTCTCTCAGGTCAATTAGATCCTGATAAATACCTGATTTGGTTAGGCTTTGGCAAATTAGTTCCTTCTGATGGAAGATGTTAAGGAGAACAGTGATTCTCAGAGTATTAAAAAAAAATTAGCTCTCTCCTGCTACACATACACATGGAAGGTCAGGGGATTATTTTTCAGATTTATATCCTGTAAAGTTGGTGTGGCTCCTGGAGGTGAACATCATGAATGTGTGTGGTACACTAGGGCTGAGTTTCCCAGAGGTTTTAATCTTTTAATGTAGTCTCAAACTCAGATTTCAGACACGGGCCAATTACCCGTGAAGAGTTAAAAACCAGAATAAGACTTATATTTGTTGACTGTCAAACTATTTTTTGGTGTGTCCTCCTAATAAATTTACATTTCCCATAATTTTGACTTTGTTACTGCTGCATCTACATTTCTTCTTGCTCACTCTGGCCTTATCAAATGAAGACTTCCATGAAGTTTACCTGATCAATCTAGTCTACCGGTTTCTGATGAACTTTTATTATTGCTAACACTAATCTGATACTTACTATTGCTTTGTAATTACTATTTCAGAAAACTTATATTTTAAAGTGTATACAAGGGGACTTAAAAAGTTCATTGAAAATGGGAATCAAACACTTTATTTTGGTGCAAAAAAGTGAAATCTATGCAATTTTTTCACAATATCCATTTTCTCTGACATTATTTATTTATTTGAGAGAGGGAAGGAATAAGGCAGAGAGAGAGACACACACACAGAGAGAAATATACTCACATCTACTAGTTCACTCCCCAAATGCCCAAATTGCCTACAGCTGGGCAGGACTCAAGTTCAGAGTGGGGAACTCCAACCAGGTCTCCCACCTGGTTGTCAGAAACCCAATTATTTGAGCCATTATCACTGCCACCCAGGGTCTGCTTTAGTGGGGGAGTCAAGACCTGGAGCTCTAAATGAATCTAAAAAAAAAAATTTAAACACCTGAGAATAATTGTGTGTTAATTACAGAGTTCAACCAATAGTATTAAGTAGAACAAAAAATACTAAAAGGGATAAGTATTAAGTTGTTCATCGACAGTCAGGACAAGGGCCAATCAAGTCACTCTTTCTCATAGTGTCCATTTCACTTCAACAGGTTTCCTTTTTGGTGCTTGGTTAGTTTTCACCGATCAGGGAGAACATATGATATTTGTCCCTCTGGGACTGGCTTATTTCACTCAGCATGATGTGTTCCAGATTCCTCCATTTTGTTGCAAATGGCTGATTTCATTGTTTTTTGTTTTTTATTTTTATTTTTTTTTTACTGCTGTATAGTATTCTATAGAGTACATGTCCCATAATTTCTTTATCCAGTCTACTGTTGATGGGCATTTGGGTTGATTCCAGGTCTTAGCTATTGTGAATTGAGCTGCAATAAACATTAAGGTGCAGACCGCTTGTTTGTTTGCCATATGGGTGCTGGTTCGAGTCCTGTCTGCTCCACTTCCGATCTAGCTCTCTGTTGTGGCCTGAGAAAGTAGTGGAGGAGGGCCAAGATCCTTGGGCCCCTGTGCCTGCGTGGGAGACCCGGAGGAAGCTCCTGGCTCTTGGGTTTGGATCGGCACAGCTCTAGCTGTTGCGGCCATCTGGGGAGTGAACCAGCAGTTGGAAGACCTCTCTCTCTCTCTGCCTCTGCCTCTCTGTAATTCTGCCTTTCAAATAGTAATAATAAAAAAATCTTTTAAAAAAAGATCCTGTTACATCTACTTATTCATTCACTAATACTTTTTTTTAAGAATTTTTTTCAAAAATTTATTTATTTATTTGAAAGAGTTAGAGAGAGAGAGAGGAGGAGAGGCAGAGAGAGAGAGAGAGCTCATCATTCCCCAACTGGCTTCAATGGCCCATGCTGTGCCGATCTGAAGCTGAGATCCAGGAGCTTCTTCTGGGTCTCTCATGCGGGTTCAGGGACCCAAGGACTTGGGCCATGCTGTACTGCTTTCCCAGGCCATAGCAGAGAGCTGGATTGGAAGTGGAGCAGCTGGGTGTTCAACCTGTGCCCATATGGGATGCTAGCACTGCAGGTGGCAGCTTTACCTGCTACACCACAGCGCCGGCCCCTTAGGATTTATTTATTTCAGAGGTAGAGTTACAGACAGATAGAGGGAGAGACAGAGAGAAAGGTTTTCCATCCCCTGATTCACTCCCCAGATGGCCACAACAGCCAGTGCTAGGCCAGGCTGAAGCCAGGAGCCAGGAGCAAGGAGCTTCATCCCAGTCTCCCACATGGGTGGCAAAGGGCCCAGACACTTGAGCTTTCATTTGCTGCTTTTCCTAGCAGGGAGCTGGATCAGAAGTGGAGTAACTGTGACAAGGAACCAGCACATATGTGAAAAGCCAGCATTCCCACAATGCTGGCCCATGTGATTTGTTGTCTGTAAATATTTTTGGAAAACTGTAAATAATTTTGGAAAACTTTTGGTCATTGGTTACTTCAAAGATTTCCTTAGCTCTGTTCTGTCTTCTTCTGATACTCCAATTATATGCATTAGTATATTTCACTCTTTGAAATTATCTCATGGTTCTTGGATTTTTTTTAATTCCTTTTCTCATTTTGTGTTTACATTTAGTTTGGAAAATTACTATCAAGATCACTTATTCTTTCCATGGGCATGTTCAGATTACCAGATTACTGATGAACTGGCATTCTTCATTTCTGTTACAGTGCCTAGTGTTTCCTTTTGATTTTTACAATTTTTATCACTCTGCTAACATTTTCATTTGGTATGTATTTCCACTTTTTCTTCTATTAGAACATATTTATTGGCGCAGAAGTTGTGGCACAGCAGGTTAAGACACCATCTATGATGCCAGCATCTCTCCCATCAGAGCACTGGCTCAAATCCCAGTTTCCCTGATTCTGATCCAGCTCCCTGCTGATGCACCTGGGAAAGCAGCAGCAGAATGGGTGAAGTACTTGGGCTGCTGCCACCCATGTGGGAGACCCAGGTGTAGTTCCAGGCTCCTGGCTTTGGCCTGACCTGGCTCCAGCCATTGTGGCCATTTGGGGAGTGAACCAGTAGATGAAGACCTCTCTCTGTCTCTCCTGTTACTCTGCCTTTCATAAATAAAATGAATGCCTTTTTTTCTTTTCTTTTTTAAAAGACCACATTTATCATATTAGCCACAGTTTAAAAATTTGTGTGTTAATCCCCAAACCTGTGACACATCTAATGTTTGCTTTGTCTGTTCAGCCTACTTCTTTTTGTCTTGTAATTTTTCACTGACAGTCAGATAGGATGTTAAAGATTAGGTAGGAAGGTTCTTAGTGTGAGGTTTTTTGTTAATCTGGCTAGGATTTGGGCTATGTTTAATGTTTGCTATGATGTAGGAGCCAGTATCTTCAACATCCTTTAATGTCTTTGATTTTGTCTTCCATTATGTTGGGCTTCATTAAGAACCCTTCCTTAGACAGAGCTTGCTCTCAGAGACGTCAACACATGGTCAGTTTGTTAAGTTGTAATCCACTGTTACTAGACTAAGCCTTGTTATGGTGGTAAGGTGTTGGGGAGGCGAAGTTTCTATAACATTATGATTAAATCTCAGTGTTTCTTACCAACTCTCCATCTCAGGTGAGACAGGCTGGAGGGCTACATGAAGGCTAATGCCATTCCCCCAGGCAGTCTTTTCTCTGAGAGGGTAGCTTTCCTTATGGTGAATGCTCTGGGGATATTTCAAAATGGTTATTCTCTCCTCTCACCCCCAAACATGAGGGGATATTGGAGATCTTCATTATGAGCATCTAGTAGAGTTCCTGGAGGTAAAACCAATGAAAGTATGGGGTCCAGTTTTAATAAGTACACGACAAGGTGATTTCCTCTGATTTTTTTTCCTCAGTATATCTGCTTCATTGATTTTGTATTTAGAGGTAGGTAGCATCAAAATGTGATAAGCTCTGTAGTATAATTTCTTCTTAAAAGGCTCAGAAATTACATTTTTATATGTAGTATAATCAGCCTGTTTTTAGTGACTTAACTTTAAGAAAACAAAGTATTGGTTCTGTCACAATGAATCAAGCCATAAAGAAAATGGCAAAATTATTGAGTCAACAACTATAAAATTAGATTATCTTTTCTG